AATCGTACAGGTCTCCGTACTCTAGGCATCGTAACCGATCGTAACAGATGTCAAGAACCAAAATCCGCCAACGTCGATTCTTTACTGCGGCTGAAATATTCATTTTTAGAGCGTTAGTGAATTAAAAAAAAGCAGTATAAAAACCGGAATGTCCAACTGATAAGGCTGAAAATTTTTTCACTTGTTATTTACAGTAAGATAAATACATTCACCAACTTTTATTAAAATAAAACCATTTAAACTGGGTGTTCGGATTTATATGTCACTTAGTATATTTGCTTCACTATGATAACACTGACACTGTCATGATAATTTGACTATAAACGTTCGCAAGAATCAGGTTGTCAAAATTATCATAGCGGCTTATATGTGAGACAGGAATTCTCTAAGGAAATTAATTTCAACAGTCGAAATTCATTTACAATCAGTCCCCAGGTCATTTAGTACTTCTTTCCATTTCCTTTGTTTGGAGTCTGCTATGAACATCATCAATAATTTTCTTGCAACTTTTGCACTATCTATTAAATTATCTTTGACTCAAAACTAAATTTGGATAATGGCTTTTTACAAATGAAATTATTGTAACATTTTTCTTTTGGGTGTGGATTAAAAACACTCGATTAAACAAAAAGAAATGCACTAATTTATTTGAAACACAACACAACTAACTTTAACTTAACTCGATAGAGCATTTATGTACACCACTATTTATGTCTGACTACTTATTTATGAATTATCATGCTGTGCCATTCACTCAACTCTGCTTCCCTCTCCCGGCCGTCGGCTTATATATTCCGCATCGCATGTTCGAGAAAGCTCCGGTGAGCCACAAGGCGGCAGTTCTTCGAGGTCACTTCGTGCCGATCTCGAAAGAGAGTCCCTAGCATGGTTCACAACAGATGGCGCTGGTAGTACTATTTATTCTTGTTACACTGCCCCCACCCTAAGGTCATTCCGTCCAGGAATGATCTTACTGGTGGTGGATGTCGATATCGGCACGACCGCCCTTTCTTGCAGTAGAAGTTCTTGAAGATGTAACAATCCACACTCTTTCCAGGCGGTAGCCGTCTAAGACTGTGAAAAAATACCAGAAATCGAATGCCTATATACCGGAAGACTACCTCAAGCATGCTTCGGATGATTCTCCAGTCCAGGTTGTTCAGTCCACATGCCAGCTTAGGTATTGCCAGTTTCCTCAGGTCCTCGGCAAGCAACACTTGTCTAAGAGAACACAAAGCGCTCCAGACATCCTCGTAATTCGGTTTCTGATACGAAGCTTTCTTGGTAACCAGATAGGAAATATTTCGGTCTTCATTTATCTGGAGTACTTCTCCGACCTCCGGGTTAGACTGACGCAGCTAGTGCACTCTTCCAAATTTCCTGAGAAAGACCTTTGCTATACCCCTCGACATTTACAAGTCTTGAGCCACACAGTGTGCCAGGGCATACTGTGGTGAAGTGGTGAACAGATCTTGCTGTACCTCACATGTCACGCCATACCGACTCTTATGGCCGTTACATTGGCAGGCCATAAATTGGTCAAATGTCATGTCCGGTTCTGGTTGGATTTGCTACACCGCCGTATCTTCATTTTTTCCATGATAAGGGGCAAGTCGGTTGAAATGTACAATTCGGGCTTCACTGCGTGATGCCTTCTGAATCCTGTAGAGAACATCGTTTATGGCTTCCAGAACTGTATATGGCCCGTCCCAGAATGATTGAAGTTTAGGCGACAGCTGTTTTCGCCTCTTTGGGTAGTAAAGCCAAACCGTATCATCGTTGTCATAGCTCTGGTCTACATAAGCTTCCTTCAGACGGTCGCTGGAACCTTGAATTGAAACATGATCCTGGCTATGGATGGCATCCATTCTTCTGCGCAGCTCACTTACGTAGTCTTCTCCGGCAATATCAGTTCCTGGTGGACAGCCAAACTTTAGATCGCATGGGAGACGAAGTTCTCTTCTCATAACTATTCGATCCGGGGTCTCTCCTGTGCTTTCATGAATCGACGATCGGTTAGCCAATAAAAAGAGGTGAAGAAAACTAACCCAGTCTCTTTGATGGCTAAAGACTACCTTAGCCAAATACCGGTTAATGGTCCTATTCATGCGCTCAACCATTCCATCTGACTGCGGGTGTAAGTCATTAGTCCTGGTCTTCTTATTCACAAGGATTTGACCAGATACTTTGGAACAGATTTGACTCGAAATTGTGTCCTTGGTCCGAATGCAACTCTAAAGGTACACCAAATCGACAGATCCAGTCATTTACTAAAGCATCGGCTACCGTAGAGGCTTCCTGATTTGGCAGTGTATGCCTCAACCCACTTGCTGAAGTAATCCATTACCACAATGATGTATTCATTCCCTGCTTCACTTTCTGGAAAGGGTCCCACCACATCAATAGCAATCCTTTCAAAGGGGCTCCCCACGTTGTATTGGCGCATCGAAGCTTTTGGTTTCCTTTGCGGTCAATTACTTGCCGCACACAACAACGCATTTTCTGCACCAGTCTTTTACGACCTCCTTGCTATTGACCCAGTAAAATCTTTCCCTCACTTTGCCCAAGTTTTTTGTAACTCCTAGATGACCTCCTGACACACCGGAATGGATTTCTTCTAGCAGCTCCGGGATCCGACATCTGGAGATAACGATTTGCCTTCTTGCCTCTTCCCGTTGTTCTTTCATCCAATTCCGAATTATTTGGAGATCGGGGTCACCCTCTTTGTCTTTAATGAGGTCGTCATTTTGCCAAGTATCACTAACGATAGTGGTTCTTAATACTTGGGCATCTTTCTCCTCTGCCCGCTGGCAATACGTACAATCTTCTTAACAGCGTCTCCTAACTTGCCCTATTTTTGCACATTTCCAACATTTCAACTTGCTGTTCTGGCGGCGTCGTTGACCATCAAGTTCCTCAACAATGCGCTTGACGGACTCTTCGAACTCGTTATCTCCTGATACCATCTGGCGGACCCGGACCTGGCTTTTATTTGTGTTTTAACGGCTTCGAATTCTAAGGCCCAAGTTAGCGCATCTACTAGTAGTAAGGATTGCCTCATTTCACCGTCACGAAGTCCATCCAGGAATGCTTGAACTGCCAATCACTCCATTATCCTTTTCTGAACTTCGGAATATGCTAATCGTACCAACCGCGCAATATCCGCTTCGAACTCCTGCATGGACTCGCCTGACTTCTGGAACCGATTCTTTAGTTGAGTATGGTAGACATGTTCTAAATGTGACTGGCCGTATCCCATCTCCAAATGTCCTACTAGCTGTTCGTAGACCTCTTGCTCTTCGGGTAGTATTCTTTGAAGAATAGCTGCAGCATCTCCTCGCAGGGCCAAAGTGAGTGCAGTTGCCTTTTCGGTCGATGACCAATCATTTGCAATCGCGGCTGCCTCAAACTGACACCGGTAGACATTTCAAGGCTTTGTAGCATCAATTTGCGGCGGTTTCATTCGCAGATGACCAGTTGACCCAACAGAAGCTCCAACCTCACTTGATTTTTCCAACAGAAGTCCACGCTGGCGTTCGTCAATGGTCTTGACGTCTAAAGCGGCAAACTAGCCTTGCACTTCTTGAATTATGTCTTCCAGACTTTCTAAAATCCGTTTTTCCAACACGCAAGATTTTTCCATATCCCAGTTCTTTTTTTAAATTGGCGGTATTTTCATAAAGCTTATCATCTAATTTGACTGTACTTTCGTGTAACTCCAAGAGTTTTCCTTCTAGATTGGCACAATTTTCTACGAGCCTATTTTCTAACTTGGCTGAGTTTTCTAAAAGATCGGCACAATTTTCCACGAGCATATTTTCTGACTTGGCTGAGTTTTCTAAAAGAGCGGCACAATATTCCATGAGCTTTCCTTCTAGTTTGGCACAATTTTCCACGAGCTTGTTTTCTGACGTGGTCGAAAGGTTTTGCAGCATTAAACCAATATCACTTGCACCGGTAAAAATGAAAATATCCGGGTTCTCGCCTTCCTCAATCAGTGCTTTACGAAGCCGCTCCTGTAATTCCGCTTTCTTTTCAGCCGTGTCAGCCAGCTCTCTTTTTAAATCGGCAATTTTCAAATCAACCAATCGCGCCATTCTTCCTTTACCGATCGTCCGATTTAATTTCACTAGAGTTCTGTTGGGTGTGGATTGAAAACACTCGATTCCACAAGAAGGAATGCACTAATTTATTTAAAACATAACACAACTAACTTTAACTTAACTAGTAAGAACATTTATATACACCACTTTTTATGTCTGACTACTTACTTACGAATTGTGTCGCGCCATTCACTCAACTCTGCTTCCCTCTCCCGGTCGTCGACATATATTTCGCATCGGATGTACTCGTTGGTTCGAGAAAGTTCCAGTGAGACACAAAGCGGCAGTCCAGAACCTTCGAGGTCACTAGTAGTGCCAAAAGAGAGTCCCTGTCGCGGTTCTCAACAGATAGCGCTGGTAGTACTATTCTTTCTTATTACATTATGATCAAAATAGCAATTTGATCATTTCGATCTAGGCTATTCATCAATGATTCAGTGTAGGAAAAAACATTAGACATTTATACCATATTGCTCTAACTTTACATATTTTTCTTACTAAATTAACTATAAACTAGCTGAAACATTCGATTTGAACTTAAACTTGAAGGTAGCCTAATCAGAATGTAAATAGCAGAATAAACAGGTACTCTTGCTGAATCTGCTTTGTGTTTTACTTATAGATACCCTGGTCTAGTTGTAAAATTAACAGAGGCCGTAACAATTTGGATTTCTTGCAATATGTACCACCAGATATGGAAACCGCATTTGAAAGCACCTTTTGGATGTGTATTAGTAGGCACTAATCATGTACACTCTAGATACAAATATTTGTGTAAATAACTTCTGCAGTAGAAATCTGTATCGTAAAGTTACTTATACTTAATGACAGATGGCGGGTATCATATCATCCTCTGCAAATTGTAGATAACTGATTTATATTTTTTTGGTTTTGAAGGAGGTCCCCGACTTGTTGAATCACTAAGAGACGTTTTGGTGACGTCTGTGGGTAGTAATATCGATCTCAATTGCTATGCGGTGACAGACGAAATGTTAGACATGGCATATATCTGGAAACATAATGGTATGACAATTCGTGATTTGGATATTAAAAACTCAAATAACAGACTGGTAAGTACATGAAAGCATTAATATTGGAATACGTGTGATGGATTTATTTTTCTGGATGCATGAATGGATACGAGCATAAGGCATTTTTAATGTTAGGTGTGCAGAAGGTCGATACAACCCTTTTAATAGCTAATAGTATATCCCATTTGGAGCACATAAGTACACAGTCGAACCGTTTTTGAGTTAGTCGCAATTTTGAAAGACTCTAGAAAACAGCTAAAATCATGCCACAAACCAACACTTGTTCAATAACAAAGTGCAACACCTTGATTCTGTTCTTTTATCATTTATCTTTATATATTCGCTTGGAGAGCGAAGACTGCGCCGTCCAACAAATCGCGATAATGCCGGAATATCCTCAGAGCTTTTGAGCTTAGGAAAAATTTAAACTGACAGTTCAGTTGCGGTTTGACGCACGTTTTCAGGCCTCAATTGACCCTGCGATCTCCACATGAGAAATTCCCTTTTTATACTACACACCTCGCTCATGGCTAATAGTCTTTCTATATAAATATTTTCCACGTTATCAAAAGATATCGTACATGTTATAAAATTAATTTTGGCTTACTAAATGGTTCAATTTGCAGTGCTTCGTGACTTTTTGAACGAATTTGTGGAAAATTTGGCAATATTATAGATTGATATCAAATTTCCTCTACTTCTGCTCTTTCATATGGTATGCCATATGTCATCAAAATTACAAGAAATAAGAAAAACCATTTTTCGTAAAAAAGCACTTGATAGTGACAAAATTATTCATTCACTCAATAAAAAAATGTAAACCATCGTTTTTTATTCATTTTCCCAAAACCACCAAACAAAACACCCCACAAGTACAAAACCGTTATAAACTATGCATCTTTATGCTGTATAAAATAGAAGCCTTCGTACATCTGGGGCATCTAGATCTAACTGCTGCTCAATTCTTACGTGAGGCACTAGATAAAATAACTGGCTTGGACGAATTCACTACCAAAAATGCAAAAGAGGCAATCAGGGGGGATAGGAAAATGCATCAGAAATAATGGCTCACATATAAGAATGAGTAATTGTGTTACTTTCAAGTACTTTACTGTAATAAATAATGTCTAGTGTAAATGTCAAATTTTGGCAAGTCATTATAAAACCCTCAGTCTCATGCTTCAACCCACTAGACTTTAAATGTCTTTAAAAGGTTCAGTGCATACTCTTTGTGAAGATTTAAAAGAATTTGCTTTAGCGGTTTTATGTGCTTCTAGTTGAGCGGGGCCCAGCTCTGCGTTTGAATACTGGCACTGCCTTAAGATAGTAATTCCATTCTATACAAAGGGTTCGCTTGTTCTGCACTGAAGCCTGTGAGATTGAGGTCAATTAACGGGTTCTCCTAACAGCCAGCGACTCATATTTTAGCATTTGTTGCTTACGCGAGAAACGTACTTTGCTTTCACCTAAGTTCCATCACATCTATCATACTAACAGTTTTAAACAAAGAGGAGATGGCTTTCGCTTGCGATTGTTTACGTGTCCTTATACTTTCGTTTTCTCTAAAAATAAATCAATGATGAACATTTGTTGTGGGTTGTGTGAGGGTACATTCAGCAAGCTTTTTTAAGTAATATAACAAGGTGATTCAAAAAACAACACAAATAATAATAATGATAATAAGAACCTTTATTTAACCTGGCCGGTGTCAGCTAAAGCTGCTTTTCATACCAACCAGGGCGGCAAATAACAAATGTATCAAATAACGGTGTGGTAACCTACATAAAATTTTCATTATCAAACTTTATTAATTCTTTTATTTTTAAATTACAACGGGTTCAAGTCTTTTATATGGATTCATCCTCAGATATTCGAAAGAATTTTGCTCCAAAAGGAAGCGTCTGACAAAATTTCTTACGAGAGACATCAAATGCGAGTGGTTCAAAAAAGTCAGTGGCGTGAAAATATTTTTCTTTTTTCTTCTGCAGGAGTCAAAAACTCTCAGCTTCTACGCCACTGATGTAGGCTCAGCTGCGAAAATATTTTCTGTATCGGTTGTTCTGCCGTTGTGTACAAAATTCAAGACGATAAATATCTGTGTACTCTACAGATACAATGGTTTCAACGACCGTCAAATTGTCATGATTTTCAGTAAAAATAAATACTAGCAAATAAGTTATTGTATAAAAATAGTGAGATTGTGGGTTGTAGCCATCGACACAATATGTTGAAAATTCAATATTCCTTATTGTAAGAAACCCCCCGATTCGGCATGTTTCGAAAACCGGTGAAAGGGCATTTAGGACCCATTTTTCGACCTACCTTCCACATAAAGGTGCACATATATCGAGGAGAAGTGACGCAACAAGGGAAGCGGAATTTTCCGGCTAGATTCTGCTACACATATTGAAATGGGAGCTCGCGCACTGGAAGACGCGAAGGGAAGCGACCTGTCGTATTTGATGCGTGCAAATGACAAATGTCGCCGTGGTTCCCTTCGCGTCGCTTCTTCTCAATGTATGCGTACGCTTAGACATATTGGCACGGTTTTTTTAATCACTCTATATTGTTTACTTTTCTAGAAAGTCGATGGTGGTTATTTGCGCATTTGGAATACTACATTCACTGACACTGGTGAGTACGAATGCGTAGTGAAGTCAGCAGTAGGCATGATATCGTCTAAAACGAGAGTTATCATAGAGGGACCTCCAGGGTCGCCAGGTGGCGTACAGGTGATCAACATACAGAAATCGTTGGTGACGTTGCAGTGGACAGATGGCGCAAACCACGGATCTCCAATTCATAGGTATTTATATCAAATCAATATCAAAAAAATGCTGGATTCGTGTGACATGTTGCGTCTTAGTTCCAAGACCATCGTCAGTTAAACGCCTCATCATCTAGCAGTTTCCTTCCTGTACTCATCTTGTGCATGGAATGTAATGTAAAGGAATTCTGTGATCGAGCTAAGCAGACCCTTTTAGACACTTGTTAGTACAATATACAGTGCTTTTCGAAGTGTTCTCCTACTTATTTTCCAACAGATCAAGATGGCTGAAATTTGGGGTAATGAAATAGGTATATGTATTATGTTCTAGCGTAAGTGTGGCAGTTGAAAATCTCAAGATGGAGGGTGGACACCATTTTGAAACTTCTTATGTGTACTTCATAACCCTAGAGTGTAAACTATCAAATTTGAGCGTTGTTGAACATTGAGTCACTTATAACTCGACAACCAAGCATCAAAGAAGGGTTTTAAACAACATCGTTACATTTGCGAGCTATAAGTTTTCTGAAATTTCTTGGCGTGAAAAAGTTGTTAAAAGATGGAAGTTGACCCAGGAGGGTCAAGAGATGACGCAGTTCCACATATTAAGGGGAAAGAGCTGAGCGGTGGCGGAAACCAAGCAGTAGCAGAAAACATGGGCCCACTGACGCAACCATCAAATAACTGATAGATGTTGATTATAGACGACCAGGCAAGGCACATGCGAGACCTAATGGAGACCATGAAGGACCAGGCAGCTAAAATTGACAGCCTGGCCCAGATAACATTTTTAGTAAATTCAAAAGAATCCCTCAAATAACGGACATACACCCGAAAAAGACCACTGAGAAACGTTATTGATGATATTTCACATGCACAGACGAGGACGTACGGACCGACAGATTTGTAAAAGCAAAATCAAGAAGGAGGAAAGGCGATAAGACCGATCGACCAACCCAAGACTTTCCTCGTCTTCCCAATACAGGATCAATTCCATTTCACACTTCCCCCACTTCATCAAATCGAAACAACTTTAATACGTCTACTATCAAATCATACACATCGGTCAGCGCAGGGACCACATTATCTACCTCTCAGGTGACTCCGTCGGCCGATGTTACTTCTCCTCCGTCATCTCGTCCAACCGTCGAGGCATCAACCTAACCCTCACGCCAAGGGCGCGTAACGCCGATCGTTCTACACGACGCGGCGAAATGGCGTACTTTAAACTACGTTCATTTCCCTAGGTATTAAATAGATCGCGCGGTTGCCGTCGTAGCGGGAATAAACATTATTCCTAAATCCGAGGACGACTACCGTTAGATCGTTCGTCTTTACCGAGAGGAAGAAGTGCTCCATCGCACTTTTCCTCTTCCTTCGGAACGGAACATCCATGGGGTGTTTCGAGAAGTTCCCGTTATTTTTTCGGATACTGAGATTAAGAAAGAACTTGAGCAGAGGGAATATAGCCCTTTCCACATCATTGCATGCCTTTGGTGGTCGTGATACTGCCCAAGACTGAAAGGTCCCAGCAAGTGTTTAACGAACACAACTGCTGGGACTGGCCTTTCGAGTTGAGGTTCACAAGAACTCCAGACTCATTGGGCAGTGTCACCGCTGCCAAAAGTACAGGCATGCGCAGTGGTATTGCACTGCACCGCCAAAAAGCTCAAAATATGCAAAGGACGAAGAGGAGGAGGAGCGCAAGTGCGCGAGCTGTGGAGAGGGCCATCCCTTAAATAGCCCGAATTGCAAGTTTACTCCAAGGAGGAACTTGCAAGTTATAGTGCAAAGGCGCAATCTGTCATATGCGGACTCAGCTAGGGAGGCAACCTTGCCTGCCCCCTCTACCCAACCTCTCTTGAGCACGCAAAATGTGGACCTGGCAATCGCCCTAAGGTCCTTACGGCAAATGGCCATTGGCGTAACATAGGCTTGAATGTCTTCAGGCTTTCAACAGGATGAAATGCTGTCGTTGTCAGGAACTAGATGAGCACACGGCTTGACTACTGGCCTCTGGTACTCTCCGGTTGAAGTTTTCAAGGTGTGATGTGGTCTGATCCGGGATACAATTCAATTATTCTGCGATGTTGTAGATGTGAGTCATATTCTTTGGACCACTTGACCCAGAAGTGCTGCGTCATTTTCTGCAGGCGTTGGAAGCGAGATAACTGATTTTCAGGATCGTTCAATCAAGTTTTGTCTGATGCAGCCATTATTTGTTCTCCTACGATGGAATGCGGGTGTCAGAGGAGTAGGGTTATAGGGATCCTCCCATAGAGGTTAGAGGTGTAGAATTACACACGCTGCAATTTGGGTCAATACGTTACAAAACTCTTCAAAAGTTAGTAGAAGTAGTTAGAAGTATGCTGCATGATTTTACTTCTGTTTTTCTAAATCTGAGATATGTAATGAAAATAACAGGGGTCCTAAGACAGATCCCTGTGGTACACCAGAACAATTTTTTATGCGGTAGAGTACTGTTGATTTAGACGAACTTTTTGATACCGATTTTCAAGGTAGGTTTGAATAAACGAAAGAGGTTTTTCAGAAAAATCCGTAATAACTGCATTTAGACATAAAAAGTGAATAATTAATTGTGTCAAATACTTTGGCAAAGTGAAGATGTATGAGAGCTACTGATTTTTGGTTGTCAAGCGCCATTGTTATGTTGTCTGTTAAATGACGAAGCTGTATTATGACCTTGTCGAAATCCAGATTATTTAGATGGTATAATTTTGTTAGAATATAAGTAGGCGCAGAGTTGCTCGTAAACAACGTGATCCAGTACTTTAGAGAAAATAGGCAGTAGGTCTCAGTTGACCATAGTTAGTAGGACCAGAACACTTAGATAGCCGAACAACTATAGCGTGTTTCCACTGATCGGGGTAATATACCCTCTCTAAACAGCAGTTGATTACCTGTATGTGTTAAGTAGACATCAATTTCAGATATACATAGTAGTATCATATGCACAATTATTCCATCTGAACCACCAGAATTTGATTTTATTTTATGAATAATGTTAACACGTTGACTGCCACGCTGGTCCCAGCAGACTTTCACTTGGGTATGGAGCCGCTGGCCGGTTTTATAATGTAATAATGTTGTTTAGGGGACCAGCACGGCCTCATAGAAGATATCTATAAGCATGGTTTTTTAATTTTAATTTTTTTTAGTTTTGTGGTCCCATTAGAAAATACTACGAATCAATATTAGCAAAGTATGTATTTTAAACTAAAGTAACTTATATAAAAACTGGAAAAATATTTAACTAAGTCTGACTACCCTTGATGTATTTCATTGAAACAATTCAAACAAAAATGATTTTCCCTCGCAATCCTCGCAGTAGGTGTCTACTTTGAGTGTACGATTGGTAGCATATTTCCTACCATGAAGCTCGTTATTTTTTTTATAACAATGCTTACAACATCTTCTTGTTTTATGCTTATTTTCGCCATCTTTTCGTTTTAGAGAATGGTGTCGTCGTCTTTTTGCCGGTAGTTCATGGTCAATGTTCTCGTTGTTAGCAGTATTTATAAGATATCTTATGACTTCCTTTTTAAACTGCGTAATCTTGATATTACATCCGGTAACATTCTTATATAATATAAAAGCATTTACCATGGACGTTGTAAGCAAAAGCTCAAATGCGATTTTGCGATACCCTTTGACAGATCTTCGAAGAGGATTAGAATACGATCCCATTTGATCAGAGAGATCCACAGAACTTTTTCCGCTATTGTAATCGATGACGACTTTAGGTATTCTGTTGTTACTTCTCTCTACCATTTCAGCATCATGCTTTGTAGACAGTACAAGCACATCCCTTTGGTCTTTCCACTTCAGTAATGTTATCCCATCTTTGTTCTCCATGGCCGCAACTTCTCCTTTTTTAAGTTTTTTGTCTACAACTTCCTTTGGTAGCCCCTTGCGGTTTTTGCGTATCGTGCCAATGAGGTGTGTATTAGAATCAAGCATCCCTTTAGCTAAAGGTAAACTCGTATACCAATTGTCTGTTACTAAGGTTCTGCCGAGACCTATAATATCTTGGGTAAGAAATGTTACAATACCTTCTGGAGTTATTCGTTCGCCATTTTCTTTGCCTGCGTAAATTTTTGATATTATATGTGTATCCTGTTCCTGAACACAACTTAAATAATTTGATACCATACTTGTGTCTTTTCGATTTTATGTATTGTTTTATAGACAATCTTCCTCTATAAGGCAACATAGTCTCATCAACACATACATATTCCTCAGGAGTATAAAGATCTTTATAATTCTTCAGGAGTTTGTCTAGCAAAGGTTTTATTTTAGCAAGCTTATCACCAGCGATAGCTTGATTGTTGTCTGCAAAATGAATTGTTCGAAGTAAAATTTCAAATTGATTACGGCTGAATACAGAACGAGGAAAACTAAAGTTGAATAATGGATCCGTTGACCAGTAATCAGCCAATGTAGGTGCTTTGACCATTCCCATCCAGGCCACTAGCCCTAAGAAATGTTTGATTTCTGTTTTATTTGTTGGTACCCAATTATGGTAGCGGGAATTGTCACTTGCATCCGTTTCAAGTAAGAGACAACTAGAATAATGATTTGTTTCATCCGCAATATATGAGAAAATCGAATCGTCTGCAACAGCTTCATAGAATTGTCCTGGACTTGCATTTGCTAGTAAAGCGGCAACTTCTGGTTTTATTCCAGATGACTGGGTATAGGTTGGAATGGCTTTGTAAATTCTTGCGATTGGCCTCCATCCCTCACCATATGTTGAAACAGTAGGCACCGGCGCCGGCATTTCCGATGAAGCAGACTTCCCCAAACTTTCAGCTTCAGGTTCGTTTTGGTTAGTTTGGGTTACAGATTCAGGTGCACGACTCGTGCTGGCTCCATTACATGATGGAATCCGTAACCTTTGTTTCCTTTTACTTGCTCTCGATAAGTCACCAATATCATCGTCCGAGTCGGTTTCTGAAGAATCCGATGGTTGATGTGAATCACTGTCAGAGCCTGGAAAAGGTTCTATGAATGACTCGTCTGAATCAGAATCCCAAATCGTGTTCACAAGCTCTTCTAACTCTTTTTGCGTCAGGGGTCTATTAGACATCTGAAATAATATCACAAATTCACAGTATACAAAAAACTGTAGTATACTACCTCTTACCTTATCGCAGAAATACTCTAAACTACTAAAACCACTAAAAAAGATGTCAGCAAGCAACACGTGGTACAAGAAGCAAGTATACAAGTTTAATATTATCATCCAACCAAGGATCAGGGATTTGTTTACATGCACTACCTTTTTTGGTCAGTGAACATGAAATAAACATATAAAATACTGTCTGTTAAAAGTTAATTTTCCATTCAATATCATCTATAGACATAATATGCCACCTTGGAAAACTCTTGAGAACTCTTTCAAATGCTATTTCATTTAAAAAATGCAAATGCCTGAAGTCACAAATTTCTGTTGATTTTTAAGAAGTGCGATACGTACTATACATTACAGAACCTTAAATAGTGATCAGTAATCATACCAGCATTAGTAGTGCCACTCCTAGAACAACTTTCCGGCTTGCTCAAATAAATAGAATCTAAGAGAGTGAGTGTCGATTCAGTTATCCTAGTCAGTTCAGATATCACATGTTTCAGATTATAAGAATCAAGGCATTTAGTCAAGTTATTACAAATGGAAAGCAAATTGACATTAATATCCCCTGCAAAGATGGTATCATCATATTCAGCTAATGTGGCAGGCAACATGTCATCAACGGTATTACCGGCTTCTGTAACAGAGCTATGTGGGGGCCGATAGGATACACCAATAGCAATTTTTTGGAAGTTACACCTTCAACCTTATATATTCAAGACTTGTGCTATGCCCAGTTGAAACTATGGATGAGCTGTAGTGTTTTTTTACAAAGACTGCAACCCTACCACCTCGCCCATCTCTATCACAGCGGTAGCAGTTGTACCCATACATTATTATGGTCATTAGATGTATCTTTTGATAGCCACGTTTCCGAAATTCCAACAATATCAAGGCTGATGTTTTGAACCAGAGTACTAAATTCATAGCAGCGTATAATTCGTACATATTCCCGCACAGGGCATCATTGCCAACCCATGTATATACGAGTATAACCTGTATCTAGTAACATTTTTCTAAATTTTGGGATAACCTCAATGGCGACATTTAAAGTAGATTCAGAACATCTGAAAGTGGTTACAGCTTTTATATCATCACTACTGAAAATACCAAATTCATTCCGGGGCAAGATCTTGTCGATTAATTCCTCAGATATTGTGTAAGCGCTTTCTATATTATTTATCACCATGCATGGACGATACTTCTTGATCTCATTGACAGTGAAGTTTGCACCGAGTTCTCCTTTCTACCTTCAGCTCCGACAATGATGCTCCATTTTCGCAGCTAAGAATAACACCATCATTCACCCTTTTCACAGAGTGCACACAGACATTTGACTTAGCTGGATGAATGCTCTTCTTCAAATCCTCCAACACATTAGAGTTCGATTTGTCTGTTCTTTTTATTAACAGCTTCTGTGTATTATTAATTTTCTTTACAATCTTCTCATCTCTGCTATTTTTTTACTCTTTTACATCCCCACTATATGATTTGATTACATTATTACAATGGGTGTATGAGGTAGTAGCTTCTATTTTTTCAACCCTTTCGTTTATTTTCCCCAAAGAAGTGATTAGGGTTTCTTTATCCACTATACTACTAATGATCAATTCATAATGCTCCTATAAACGTCTGTTCTCATTAACTAATTGATTGATATACCTCTCTTTATCCAAAATTATTTTATTCTTTGTTTCTAATAGCTTTTCTAGGTACTGTACTTCTTGCTATATCGTAATATTTTCATTATTCTTGTATAAATAACGTTCATCTTCATCTTCTTGTTGATCTTCTTCATCCTTCTTTTTTTCGTTCAGACATATCGGACAAACACCCTATGTACGTGCCAGGTTAAAAGTTGGTATATCTTGACAGAAATGTGACGACTTTTGTGTCACAGTTTCGGGAGAGTTTAAATAAATATGGCCGAAAGTGCTTGGTTCGTCCTCTACGGAGCTGCTAACGTTTCTGTAAGTACTACTAGGAGCAGGTATTTTTTGATGGATGAATTAGTTAATTGACGAATTGCTTTTTTGCACGGAATGCCCAACTTGAAGGCCCTACAATATATTAAATTAAAAAAATGGTCGGAAGCCATTCCCCATGATGTTACTGGGAGGGTCTTATGATGAATGTTTCTAGTAGCGGTTAATGCCTTCTTCTTAGTCCAGGTTATACGGCATCATTTCTGATTGATACAGTTTGATAGGATGATTAATTGCCTTCGGATCATAGATATGATATAAGACTTGTCAGATATACCTCTACAAATACATTATTATCACCAAAAATTAAAAATATGTTCAAGTATAAATGCATACATTTGTCGAAAAAGTAGCGGTTAAAATAGAAAGAATCACAATATTAGTGAAAAACCAGCAGACACAAAAGTAAACGGAACAAGGTGTCTAAAAATTAAGAATAACAATAGAGGATAAAAGGTACGCAAATAAAAGTATCAGAATGCTAAAAAATATATACTCAGCTTCATCTTTTATATAATTTTATGAATTGAGGCGTATCACTCTTACGGTGAAATATACTCATCTACTGAATAGGACCATTTTTGTAGTAACATATTACTACGCTCTTTCTTGGACTTATTTGGGCATCTAATATCTTTTAGTATGGATGGCAACTTGGTGCAGGTGTAGGTTGGTGATTTTTAGAACACTGACCTTGTATGCGAAGGTATACTCAAGTCCTGTTTTGCTCTAGTGCTGTAGTTGGTGTTGAAGTTATTGTTTTGCAGAAACTAGCTCCTTTGATTGAACGCAAAGAAAGCACATATAAATATATACGAGTATACACGGAAGCTTTAACAAGTTATTAAGCTGAATTGTTCCTACACATGACTCTCTACTTTTAGTGTTTCCTCCGCGGTTCAAACTTTGATCCGCAAATCATAGTAAGATACAGGTTTTTGTTTGATTTATACAGAATTTTATCACTTAATGTGGGGATCAGTGATCCTCACAAAAATCTTATAATTATGCGCTAGCTTGAGAGATAATATGGGAGAAAATGCTTTCTGTTTGGTCAATTTTGATATAGATTAATAGTAAAAGCGGACCTGACTGTTGCTAGTTATTATTTCATTCTTACAGCTACACAATAAGTGGCCGTACAAGATATAATCCAAATTGGTTTGACTTAACACATGGAGTGAGAGCCACTGAGATCGACAGATACACAGGTAGGAAGGAGACCACAATCGAAAACAGTCTAACACCGTGGTCATCGTACGAATTCAGAGTATCTGCGAGGAATGATTTGGGAATGGGACCACCATCTTTACCCAGCCCTAGACATTCGACACCACCTGACAGACCATATATTTCACCACGTAATATTGGAGGTTAGTACAACAGCAGATTTGTGTAGAATATAAAAGGCTCATTTAGAGTCATATTCTGGCAAAGCCACCCTAAACATTTGAAGACGGGTGGAGAGGAGGATTGGTAAAAAACATGGATTCTGACAGTCCTACCGATTGTAATAAATAATATACTATTTGGGATGTATTTTCATGTAGAATAAGAAATAATATCGCAATTTATCGGAATCGTTTTCCGATCTGAGCATTGTCAGCTCGATAGTTGGCGATTTTTAGGAGTATTTGTACTTATGACACTTATTTCTGCTACCTTGGGAAACTAGAGTAATACTTAGCATTTATAAATTAATTTGCAATACCTTCTGTATTAACTATTTGCCGATAGCCAATCCATTTAGCTTTAAGTTTTCAATCTTACCCGTGAGTTATAAGATCGACGTCGCGAGATCGCTTTTTAAAAAAGTTTATTTTTAAAAAATACCAAACTCAAAAATGTATTTTTTTCAAAATTATTACAATATTGTTAAGATGCAACAGTACAAAGGCTTAAATCTGACTGTAAAATGTGTTGAGAACAATAAAGTAAACTCTAGGCCTTCTAGGAAATTAGTGGCATGGTCAAAATTATTCCTAGCTGGCTGCGTGTAGTTTCTAGAGGGAAGGAAAGGAAGGGAAATAGGGAAACCAAATCTAGATCTTACAAACTGCTGGAGAATGTCTTAACTCCACAATACTTCAATGGAGTGTATATTCAAACCGCTTGCGCTTGTCAATATCCAATAGTCCCGAAAACTAAGAAAAGACCACCCTGGTCCGCGTTGAAACATCCTATCGTTGTTGTAATTATTTCGCTATTCTGAATTATCTAACGCGCCAAATTTAAATATCCGAATATATCGGCGCGTCCATACCCCCACCAAGAAAGTTTTCAGCTCAATTAGTCCAACATAAAATTAATAAAAAAAAGAAGATAACTATATCCCGAAAACCGAGAAATGAAAATACGTCTGATCTGAAGGATCCATTGATCCATTCTACGTGTGTTAAAAAGTATTTAGCTCTTCATACGTCAATAATTGATTTCCCAGCTTCCGATAAATATGGCTTTTCACGTTACTTTCCCACCGCCCACGTGAGAGGGAGAGGGCGGGTTAAACAATCCGTTGCTTGGCAATGTCTCCTAATAACGCATTAGTCCCGTGAATTAAAAAATAACTTCCGTTTTGCACCTATAAAATGTCTACCCCTATCCGAGTATAAACATTTACAAGCCCCCCTGTGTGATAAAAATCGTTTAAGCGGCTGTAAGAATTATTCGGTTGAAAGTGAACTCACCAGTTCCTTATGGACCGCGCTTACCGACATACATACAAACAAACAGACGTAGGCTTTGTATACTTTTGCACTTCTGACTCGACGAACAGTTAGACGAGCACTAACACAAGAATGTTCGGACATTATTCAATTTTATCTAAAAGTTTGTTTTTGTAAGGTTAAAAATTAATTGTTTTTCTTTTATAAGACAATGAAATATATTGTTTGCACATCGTATTAACAAAGTAGTTTCAAGTAATATGATATTGAAATATAAAATCAAACTAATATTTATAACAACGCAACATTTTGCTGACACATAAATGTTCGGACACGACATTAAAAAGAAAATAATAGCATGCCATGAAAACTAAAAAGTGTTTACAATTTGACGTTTTGATTTAAGAATCAATTCTGTGAATCAATTTGCTTTAAAATGTCGCGTGGCAAAGCAACAAATCGTGTAATACGACTTAATCATAAAATTGTTTCAAGGAAATAGTTTTCGGGATATTGCTAAACAAATAAATGTCGGAAAGTTTACGGTATTGTAAAAAAGTATGGTGTTGGCAGGCCACGTAAGATAAATCCTAGAATGCAAAGGTCTCTTGTTCGTATTTATAAAGCTGGTCGTCGTGGTACTGTAAGGGACATGACAGCAAAATGGAATGGAGAAACAGCAGGAAATGTTTCACCAGAAACGTGCCGTCGGTGGATTCATAAGTCCGGTTTACATTTTTATAAGGTACGTCGGTTACATTTAAGGGACATATGGGATATTTATTCAGTAAAATCTTTGCTTTAGGCAAGAGAAAAGCCGTTGCTTACCGAGAAACAAAAGAAAATGCGATTAGCGTGGGCTAAGGAACGGGCAATGTGGACTTACGGAGACTGGAAAAAGATCATTTTTAGCGATTATTCGAAATTTGATGTTTGTGTGGGTGAACACCGATCACGGCACGGGTATTACGTATCTTAAAAAGTGACATTAGGTCGATTTTTTTTGACATTGTATTGGTTTTTTGTGACATTATGTAGGGTTTTCTACAAGATAGTTACTTAGCACTAGCTGATGGACACGTTGTGATCTCGTTTGGTAGTTGTACGTGTTGCATAAACATCATGAGGCTTCAGTTATCAATGTCTGGCTCTGATGTGATGTAAAATCTGCTTCAGAGATGGCATTACTGGAGGTCTAAGCTGTAAGTTATATACCTGAGCTGGAAGGAAATGGCAATGCATAGGTGCATAGTGAGATTTGTGTGCTAATAATATGTGAGAGGTGAGAAATAATTATATTCACTGTACACTGTCGAATTACAAGTCGTATACATGCTAACAGTAATTACACACAACGCGGGTGTGGTGGTGATTTCCCGTAATTCTCCTCAATTTTTAAAAACATAAAAAACGTATAAAATCGTATTTTATATTTGGACATAATCTGTCTTCAGAAAGGGCACCATATAAATAACCCGTTGGGCACAGCTAATAGATATACTTGATTGGCAGCATATTCAGTAATGATTTTCTCACACAGCAAATATCACTGATTTTATACAATATACAATACACATAATCATTCAGATGCGATCTTGCTATTCAAACAACATTCTTGTCAGAGATGAAAGCTATAGACTACTGGGCTTCACAAAACATATGCAACCAACAATGCGTGTAGTTGAGTCATTCCTCCATAGATGGACGCTCACTACGATCCTAGTGAGCAAACGTGGAATGATTTTTTGCACCCTAAAAACTACCTAGTCTGCAAGATAACATTTAATAGTTTTTTTTTGAACTTTTATATGTTTTTACATAATACTCTTGCTGGTTATAAGAAACAAAAATGAAACGTTTCGTAAAGACTGGCTAAATAAAAATGTAAAGTTTCCATTAGGTTTAATGGTATGAGGAAGTATATCTGCTTTTGGCGTTAGAAAACTTCAGTTCATAGATCTTGAAAAGTGACGTTATATCGATTTTTTTGACATTATACTGTTTTTTTTTTTGACATGTAGGTTTTTCGACAAAACGTTTACTTAGCACTAGCTGATTGACACTTGTCGTGAACACGTTTGTAATTGACGTGTTGCCTAAACGTCATGATGTTTGACCTATCAAAGTTTGGGTATGATGTGATGTATCAAGTGCTTCAGCGATGGCAATATATTGGAGATCTAAGCTGTCACTTGTATACTATAGACTACATCTGGAAGAAAACGGCAATGCATAGGTACATAGTGAGGATGTGCGTGCTAATAATCTGTGTTGATGGTAATTCCATTTAGTCCAATCATATTAGCAAATTTCCCCCAAATAATTGTAAAGTCTGGTTTTAGTGGTGCAAGTTGATCAACGGGGTAAAATATGGACGCATAAAATGGGTACATCAATTTTTGTGGGAAATCTTTTTATTTGACAACAAAGAATGAGAAAACGTGTTTTGGCAGGAACGAAAAAACTCTTCATATAAGATTTTTAGGTATTTATGAGTCCTACAAATAAGACCATACGCGGAAAGATCCATCTAAATGTCAAGGCCGAAAAACGAGGCAAAATGCAGGTTTGAGCACTTGGTAATGCGACGATAATTTCACGCAACTATTTGAAATCTTTAAATAACAACAAAATTGGAGTATAATGGTCAAGTAGTTTTAAGTAGGGTTGTTGAGGAAGTGATTATGAGGAAGAGGAGGAGGAAGAGGAATTGTCACGCGCAAATTTAGAGGATGCGGATGAGGAAGAGGATATTTTTTGAGGAAGAGGAAGCGGATGAGGAAGAGGAAATTATAAATATTAGCGGACCCAACCCAAAAGCCGCTGTTCTGTCTGTACATAACTAGGTACATATGTACATACACAAAATTAATTAAAAGGGCATTTTTCAGTGGACCAAACTATGAATCTAAACCATTCTCAAAATACACGCAATAAAGAATCATCAAAATCGGTCCAGCAGTTTAGGAGGAGTTCGGTAACATACACAACACACGTACACAAAAAAAAGATGAGTGAATGATACAATTTTATTTAGGAATTGATATGAAAATAAATATGCAGTCTTTATTTCTTTATTAATTGCTTAAGTCGAGTATTAACTGTCAAAATAAAAGAACTGAATACTAATAATCAAACTTAATTATAGGGAGGTTAATTTTTATAAAAATTAATTTGGACGCTGTTTCCCCTGACAACCGGTTTCTTAGCTCATCATATACCAATCCAGCATTGCTAAAAAGTCGTTCGCTTGGGACACTTGATGGAGGAGAAGATAGGTATTGCCGTACAGCTCCGTAAAGCTCCGAATATTTCGGATTATTTTTCCACCATAGAAGACTGTCTTCATGCATATTAATTCGTTTTTCTCTAATGTAGTTATTTAATAGTAACTTCAGTACCACGGATCTATCTTCTATTGGTAAACTTTCAATTTCATCGTCACTATTTAGCTCAGAGGCTAACATTTCGGCTAACATTGAATCTACAATTTTTCCCGTGGAAGTGCTAGCTGTGGGGCAGGATGTGTCTACTACAGCCCCAGAACTAGTGGATGGTTGATTGTGGACATCCATGACGACATTGTCTATTGGGCGTTGGCTGGTTGATGTTAGTACTGTTAGTAGCGCTAATTCAATACGTTCTTTAGTTATTTCATTAAAAAATTTCGTTTTGTATTTTGGATCCAAATATGTAGAGATGGCGTAGAGATTATTATTATGAAGCTCACCGAAGCGGTTGTTAATCTCTTCTATCAGTTTTTGGATGACATTTTTGCAATCTTGGTCATTACCAATGTTATCTTCTGTCAAAAAATTTTGCATTGCACATACTAAGACATGAATCAGTGGTATAACAGAGGATATACATGCCTCAGTGCTGCTCAAAGATTTAGTTACCTCTTCAAAGGGTTTCAGAATCCTCGTACAGGTTTCAAATTTTACCCAATCACTTGGTACAAGTTGCGGCAAATTTAGGTGTTGCGATGTATATAATATGATAGCATCCTTTATCTTAATAAGTCGCTCAATCATATAAAACATGCTGTTCCACCGAGTAGCACATTCTTGGACAACTGACAGCTGAGGTAAACCTAGGCGTTCTTGAAAGTCGTTCAATTCCTTTTGTCCAGTTATAGAGTGATTGAAGTGCGTCGCAATCTGCTTACATTTAGCCAACAGCGTTGAGAAATGTTCATTAGACGCCAAAGCTGAACGTACACACAATTGTAATTGATGTAAGGTGCAATCTATATCGTCGATTTGTGAGATACGGGCAGCTCGTTTCATATTAGATCCACCGTCAGGGACCATTGCATGTAGCTTTTGCCGAGGAATGTCCCATTCCTCTAGTATTTCGTCGAGTTTTTGAGCTACCAGATCGCCCG